GGTTTTTAATTTCTTTCAATGATGTTTTATAGTTTTCAGTGTACAAGTCCTATACCACTTTTGTTAAATTTCTTAGTATTTTATTTTTCATGCTGTTTTAAGTGGAATTATTTTTATTTCATTTTTGGATTGTTCATTACTAGCATATATTTACACAGTTGGTTTTTATGTATTAATCTTGTATCCTACAAACTTATTTAACTAGTTTATTAGTGTTAAACTTTTTTGGTGGATTTCTACATACAAAATCATGTCATCTACAAATAGTTTAATTTCTTCCTTCCCAATCTGTGTGTCCTTATTTTTTTTTCTTTTGCATAACTTCCCTGGCTAGAACCTACAGTAGATACTGAGCAGAATTGGCAAGAGCAAACATCTGTCTTGTCCCTCATTTTAGGGGGAAAACTTTCAGTTTTTCAGCATTAAGCATGATGCTAAATGTAGGGTTTCTTGTAAATGCTCCTTGTCCGGTTGAAGAAAACATTTTCTGTTCCTTGGTTGAGTATCTTTATCATGAAAGGGTGCTTGATTTTTTTCAAATGCTTTTTCTGCATCTAATAAGATGATTGTGTGCTTCTTGGCCCTTATTGTGTTAGCATGGTGTATCATATTGATTGACTTTTGTATATGGGACCAGCATTGCATTTCTGGAAAAATCTTACTCGACCGTAGTGTATACTTTTTTCTATATGTTGCTGAATTCCATTTGCTAGTATATTATTGAAGATTTTTTCATCTACATTGATAAGGGATATTGGCCTAGAATTTTACTGTAGTATCTTTGTTTTTGGTTTCCGGATAATTGCCTTATGGAATGCATTGAGAAGGGTTTCCTGTTCTATTTTTGAGGAGAATTTGTAAAGGATTGGGGCTAATTTAAATGTTCATTAGAATTCACCAGCAAAATCATTTACTCCTGGGCTTATCTTTGTAGGAAGTTTTTTGATTACTGTTTAAGTCTTTTTATTTGTAATATGTCAGATTGTCAGTTTCAGTTAATTTGTGCTTTCTAGGAATTTGTCCATTTCATATAATTTATATAACTTGTTGATACCATTTTTTATCGTATTCCCTTATAATGCTTTTCATAAGGTCATTAGTAATGTCCTCTTTTTCACTTCTAATTTTAAATACTTTGAGTCTCTTCTCTTTTTCGGGATCAGTCTAATTAGTTTTGTCCAAGACCCCAGGCAGCCAGTGTTCAATAACTGTCCCCAACTATTTTCAACAAACACTTCCAGTGGGGAAAATGCTATACACAATAGGTGAACTCCCAGTGAAATCAGATGAAGAAAGCCTTGCTTGTGGGGTCTTCTAGGGAACTACCAAACAGGTAAAATATGGACACTTCCTGGGAATGGGGCTTTGGAGGGTATCTAACCTAAACCCTCCAGTGGTTGCCAGCCTACTGATGTTCATCCTAAATGTGGGCTGTTGGTTTTCAAGGCTGTTGTGGAGTTCTGGGGACACTAGGAACAGGGCAAGTTAAAGCACTGTAAAGCTTAGTTTCTTACCAAAAGTTCACTGCTTTTCTTGAATAAATGCTTCCTGGAATGCTGCAAGCCTTTTTATCAATTTTCAGATTTCTGAAAAGTTGATCTTGACAATATTTACCAGGATTCTTACTGCTTTTATGGAGGAGAGAATTTTCAGAGATCCTTATTTTGCCATTTTTGCTAACATCTATAAAATTATAATTTCTAATTGTAACATTCCTTCTGCATTTATTAGATGAAATTCCTTAAACAATTTTCCTTATCAACTGTTGGTTACCATTAAATATAGTTTGTAAACAAGTGACAGAATAATGCATGGTAAGTATCTTTAGTTGTGAAATTTCAAAATAGTGATTTGGTGCCTTAGTAACCATCCAAAAATAATCAGTTAGCTTATTCTTTCTTTTTGCTCTCATTAAAAAAAACGTGATGGATTTTAATCTATATTCATTTCAGTGAGAAATGATACTTAGAGATCACAGTCTGTGTCCAGATGTTCTCATTGCTACAAAGATACTGTTACTTTAAGGTGTTTTCAGTGGGCAGACATAGGAAGTAATTTTTTTTTAGAAAGAAAATTTGAGCTTTTTAAATCATTATCATGAGTTCATATGGTTATTTCCTATTCATAGGATTATAGGATCTTTACTTTTACGCTGAAATTCTTGACATTAACAGTGATTTCTTCATGTCACAATGTCCATAAGTAATTTCAAAATAATATCATTACTACTAAGAGATCAGGAGAGCAATTCATAAGCAAAATGAGAATTTAGCAAAGAGATAGAAAATACCAAACAAATTATGGGGTTGAAGAATATAAATAAGCTGAAAAATTCACTAGAGGGATTCAACAGCAGACTACATCAAGTGGAAAAAAGGACTGGTGTACAACTCAAAGATAGGACAGTGGAACTCATTCAAGAAGAGGAACAAAAAGGAAAAAGAATAAAAAAGAGTGAAGATAGTTTGAAGGATTTATCGGACACCATAAGAGGACCAACATATACATTATAGGGGTCCTAAAAGGAGAAGAAAGAAAAAGAGATAGAAGGCTTACTCAAGAAATAATGGCTGAAAAATATCTCAAGACAAACATACCAACACTTCTAGGATGCAGCAAACCAGTTCTAAGAGGAAACCACATAGTGATAAATACCTATGCTAAGAGAAAAGAATGCTCTCTCTTAAACAACCTAACTTCACACCTCAAGGAACCTGACAAAGAACAAACTAAGCCCAAAGTTACTAGAAGGAAGGAAATAACAAAGATCAAAGTGGAAATAAATGAAATACAGACTTAACAGACAATAGGAAAAAAAAAACGAATGAAACTGAGAACATTTTTTTGTAAAATATAAACAAAACAGGCAAACCTTTAGCTACACTTACCAGAAGGAGAGAGAAAAGAAATAAAATTACAAATGAAAGGAAAGGTATAACAACTGATACCACATAAATACAAATACTATGAATAATTATACACCAACAACCTAGAAGAAATAGATAAATTCCTAGAAACGTACAGCTTACCAAGGCTGTCATGAAGAAACAGAAAATATGAACAGACCAACTGCTAGTAAGGAGATTGAATCAGTAATCAAAAACCTCACAAAAAAGTTCATCACCAGGTGGCTTCAACAGTGAATTCTACCAAACAGTTAAGATGAATTACTACCAGTCCTTCTCAAACTCTTCCAAAGAACTGAAGAGAAAGGATCACTTCCAAACTCATTTTATGAGGCCAGCGTTACTCCAATTAAAAAAAAAAATCAGACAAGGACACTACAAGAAAAGAAAATTACCAGCCAGTATTCCTGATGAACATAGCATTCTTTACAGTACCTAAGATGTGGAGACAACCTAAGTGTCCATCAATGGATGAACGGATAAAGTTGTGGCATGTGTACACACACACACACACAGAGGAATGTTATTCAGCTTTTGAAAAAGAAAATTCTCCCATTTTCAACAATATGGATAAACCTGGAGGGTATTATGCTAAGCGATATAAACCAGATAGAGAAAGGCAAATACTGCATGGTATCACTCATACCTGGAATCAAAAACAACCAAAAGTCAAACTCATGAAAGAGTAGAAAAATATTTGTGAGAGGCTGGGGGGAACGGGTGAGGGAAATAGGGAGAAGTTAATAAAAGAGAATAATCTTTCAGTTATAAAATGAGTACGATCTGAGGATCTGATGTATAACATGGTGACTATGGTTGATGACACCTCACTGTGTAATTGAAATTTGCTGAAAGAGTAGAACTTAAATGTTCTTTGCAAGAAAGAAAAGATAAATATGTGAGGTGGTGATGTGTTAATTAACTTGATGGGAGAATCCTTTCATAATTTATGCTTATATCAGATCATCACATTGTTTACTTTAAATAAATATTTTATTTGTCAATTATACCTCAATAAAGCTGGAAAAAATACCTACTGAATATAATTTTCTTAGTAAGGTGTTTCATCAGGGTTTGTTTTTGGTTTCTTTGCTTTTGTCTGTTTATTGCCCTTAGGATATAACTGATTTGGGCCATAAAGTCGTAACACTGTGTTTTAGCCAAAAGCTAGAAAGCACTCAAATGCTCATCAATGATGGAATGCTTAATTTGCGGCATATTCATACAATAAAAAACTATGCTCAGTGAGTAAATACATTAATAAATTACAGCTACATGCAACATTGTGGATGGATATGCCAAACAGTGCTGAAGAAAAGCAAGGCACAGGCTTATACCAGTTAATCACATGTAAGTGGTATGTATGTTATGTATTTGTGTGTGTGTATATAGTTTTGCCTGTTTTTATGTAGCATACTATATAGTATTAAAATACTCAAAACTATATATATATATAGCTGTATATGTGTACTATACATGGTATAAAAATAGGAAAAACTATATACACACATACATATATGTACACATAGCTATAGTATACAAGTAGGCAAATCTATATATATATACACACATGAAGACTAAATTCAGTAGGTTTATAGTATATTATATATAGTATTAAAAACAGGAGATATACATACACATACATATACACACGATATTCAGAGTAGGTATATAGTATATATTTTAGTTTTGCCTATTTTTATACTATATAATCTATTTCAATAGAAGTTACTGTCAGAGGGGCAATGCCTGGAAGGAAATATAAGATGGTAATCTGGGGTGCAAGTATTTATGTTTTGTTTCTTAGTTTGAATGCTATTCAGGTATGTTTCACTTGTGAGCACTTGCAGGCTATAAAATTCTGTGTACTTTTCTGTGTGTGTATTATACTACAGTGAAAACTTTGTTTAAATCGTGTTTTAAAATCAATTGGAATAGTTTTTTTCTGATGTGATTGTGGCACAGCTTAACATATAGTTAGACTTCTTTTAAAACTAATTTGCACTCGTTTTTGAAAGCAGACACTCAGTCTGTGAGATCGATAGCCTAGGCAATGCTGTCCATAGTCACGAACTTCGTTCTTTGATTTCTCAGGAGAACCTGTGCCTGCCAGGGGCTGGACCCAGAGACCTGTGGTGCCTCCTTTTCTTTTGGTTGTTCATGGAGCATGTACTACAATGGATGTAAGTTTGCCAGAAGCAAGATCCCAAGAAAATTTAAGCTGCTTGGGGATGACCCAAAAGAGGTTTGTTTACTTCCTGATGTATAATTTGTTTCTTTTTCGTGGAGAATTGATGAGCACAGTGAACAATATGATATAACTCTGTTAAACTCTTGTTAACAGAGAGAATTTCATCTGAGAGATGAACCAGCAAAATTTTGGCTAAATTATGTGCGTCTATAACAATTTCATGAAATTAGCATAGTAACAACCATGGGATACCAAAGTAATAAAGTTTGAGCAACATAAACTCTTTATACCTATGGCCTTTCCTCTTCATTCTTTATCATTAATGTTAATTCTAGAGTTTCACATAGCTGTCCCCTCAGTATTAAAACTAAATGTTAAAACCTTGGTGTTAAAACTTTCATCTTTTGAACCTGAATTATAGAAGTCATGTTCATGACTGCCGCATTTATAAAAGACCATTTCTAGTCATATTTTCACACCATGAGGTTAGATGGTTTAATGTTACTATAATGAATGCATTCAAGTAACTAGAACATTTAGATTTTCATATCACTGATTTCTCATTTAAGTCACTGGTTTTTGTCCTTTCTCTAAGATAAATATTTCTCAAAATAACTTGCGGATTGGTATCAAATTTAATAAGTTTAGGGTAGCATGTATTCTAGAGTATGCTAATTTTCGATAATCAGAAAACCTCAGTATATTTAGCATTTAAATATGGTCAAGTTTTTAGTGAATCTATATAGCTTATAATTTCTTTCAAATTTTAAATGCAATTGAAATATAGTTAGACTGTGGATATAATAATAATTAAATGTCCCTCTAATTGAACAAAACTGTTAACCTTAGTATTTGTGACTATAATAATAAGCAGTTTAATAAAGTGCAAAAGTTCAAGTCATGATATAATTTTTTATAGGAGCATAATATTTTAATAAACTGTATTAATGTACTAGATGTCCTCTTTTCATAAGAAAAAGCCCCAAATATGTAATAAACCTAATAGCAATTTTGCATGCTGTGCTCCACTTAAGTTTTTCACAGTGGAGAGATTATTTTCACCACTACTTCATAAATGTTTATCACTCTAACCAGGTTTCATGTAAACCAAATCTGGGGGATGGCTGGTGACATCTCCCTCAGTTAGGTAGGAGTGCGCCACTCAGAAACCTCATCTTCTAAAATGCAAATATGTTTATCTCTGCCAGCTGGTTACAACTCCAGAGGTTTTTAGAGAGATATCACTGTGAAATGAGCATGTCTAAGTATGAATGGACCAACCAAGTATTGTCTACCATTTTAAAAAAACATATTGCTTGAAATCTGTTCTTCAGTTGGGAGGAGGGAGTGTAACTGAACATTTCTCCTTTCAAGTAAACTTTACAGTTTTTCATATATACCACACCTTATAGTTCTGAGAGTTTTGTTCATATTTGAATCACCTGGTAACTTTTAGTTGCTCTATGGAGAGATCATTTCAAATTTTGAAATGTTATTTTTATAAACATTTAAAAATATAAAGATTGGAAATAAGAAATTAAACCAAACAAATCTTTTCAGTAGCTCACCTTCCGTGGCCACTAATTAGGCAGTAGAGAATGTGACCCTTTAAAGACTGTCTGACTTCATTCTCCTAACCCTGCTACCAGCAGAGGCTTATATTTATAAAATGCCAGATATCTGCATGCAAAGTAGAAAACTGATTAATCTTAAGAAAATATCAAAGAGCTTGATATTTAACAACACATACAAAAATAGGTAATACATGGTCTATACTTTCCACTTAGAAATAGTCATGTTAAGATGCTTTAGTTTTTTAATAAGAGACGCTGTGTCTTGTGATTTGGATCTAATATATAGGGGGGCAAGGAATCTAACTGATAGCCTCTTTCATGAAGAATGGATTTAGAATTTAATATGGAGGATTATTCATTTTATACAGGAAGAGAAACTGGAGTCTCATTTGCAAAACCTGTCCACTCTTATGGCACCAACATACAAGAAACTTGCACCCGATGCGTATAATAACCAGGTAAGTTTTAACAGTTATTGACAATGACTGGAACTGTTACTCACTGTTGATGACCTACCTATCTACTTCCAAACATATTTTTGAAGCAATGATTTTCCTTTACTTTTCTAATTTTTTCTTTTCCTAACTGTTGAAGCCATTGCAATGTTCTGTTTCTGGTATATAAAACCTACACCATTTGAAAGAGCATGTTGTTGGTCTTCTAATCTGTAAAAGTAATGAGCTTTTAAGACTCACAAGCTGTTTTATCTAGTAATCTTGTTCTCAAATGGATAATTTTGTCTCTGTAAGCAGACTTTAGTGATTAATTAAAATTAGATGGCTCAAACTATTGGTTCTAACCACCTGTTAACTGTTTTCACAGGAAGTCTATACATTCAAAGCTATGGGTGTGCTACTTGCTAAGTGTACATACATGTGTCCAGATGTGTCAGATTTTGCTAGATGTTTATTTTTTCTTTTGGCCTTGGCTTCATGAACCAAGCCAAACTTCTTTTTTTTCTATTTTGTAAGTGTGCTAGGCAGTATCTATATGGAAGGCTAAGTGATTTGTTCTTAAATGCTTATGAAGGAGGCAGAAGACTGAAGTCTTCCCTGTTTCAAAAGCCCTAAATGAGAGCCTGTTCTAAACCACTGTGTTTAGTCACTGTGGACAGTAAGATGAGCAGTGTGGGTTCTACGTCTTTAAAAAATTCCTCCTCTAGAGGAGATGTAGGGATGTAAAATACAAGATGTAAGGACGTAAAATACCAATTATAGAAAAATAACAGCCAAGGTAGAGGTTTGCACACATTTCTGAAGGAATGAAAAGGCTTTCCCTGAAAGTAGGGGTATAAAGTCACAAATGGCCTTGGAGGCCATGTAAAGATCTTTCAACTTTTTCCTGTAGGTAAGAGACCTACCACCATTGGGGTGTTCTAAGTGTATACTAGGGATGGGGAAGGGCGAAGTGATTTCACTTAAAAAGGTCACTCAAGCCAAACAAATGAAATACAGCATAGATAGCTTTGATTAGTGGAAGATTCAGTGAGAGAAGCAGGCTATTACAGTCACTGGGCAAGAGATGTGAAGGTCCTAATTTAAAGAAATAGCAGTAATGATAGATAGAGAAAATGAAATAAATATATAAAATATTTGAGGTAGAATTTATAGAACTTAGTGACTAGTTGGATTTAAGGATAAGAAAAAGATAATTTGAAGATCCACCAAATTTCTGGCTTGACTAGATGGTTCTATGAGCTAGTACCAGGAATCAGTGAAGAAAAATAAGTTTGGGGGAGATGAGGGGAAGATGATAAATTTCATTTCAGAAGTTTCATTTTGGCAAAGCTAGGTTTTACATACTTCTAGAATAATTAGAAGAAAAATCTAGTTTAGCACTGTGATTTGAAAATTATCAAAATGCAGGAAGTAGCTGAATATGTAGAAGCGAATGCAGTTTTTCAGAATGGAGATTATTAAGAAGTGGCTAATGATTTTAACATTTAACATTTTAGGGGTGAGAGGAGGACAAGAAACCAATGAAGGAAGCACTGGGATTGGAAGCAGTGGAGAGGGAGAGGTTAAAGATTTAAGAGGAAGCGGGAGGATGATAGAAGGAAAGCTGGAGGTGATAAGGTATCCAGAGCAGAGTACACAGAGCAAGGGTACAGGGAAGTGTGGAGGGTAGTACATTTTGCAAACATTGTCATGTACTTAATAATGTTAAAGCTTCTAAGGGGATTAGTTTACATAGCAGAGACAGACAGGGGACCAATTCTAATTAACAGTTTAACTATTGTTTCCATTGTGAACTTTCTCCCCAAGCCCCAATTCTTCTTTCTTTTTCTATTTTTTAGTGGGAGCAAGGGAGGAAACTTTAATAATGATGGTAGTCTGTTTATAAATTTTATGTTACAACTTACATTTTTAGAAATGTATGTGAATGTCTATGAAAATTATTTTAAATGCTGTCTTAATAACAATGAGATTAATACTGTTAATTAGTGTCACAGAAAAGTATAAGGAATTACCATGGTACTGTTGTAAAATAATTCAGGGGTGACAAACACAATAAATCAGGCTGTAAAAGAAAATGAATTGAGCCTATGTTGCTAGATTTCAAGTTTGGCCATTTTCTGTTGAATGAATTTTTTATAGGGGCTATTATTAATCAAAAGGTTTTAACTGGGGAAAGGGACAAAACAACAAGCATGGATATTCTTTTTACTCCATTGATTCTTATTATTGACTGTCTCATACAAAAGTGATTTTCTAAGCTTTTATATTCTATTCTATTACTTTTTGTTTGGAATATTTTATGCATTTCCTGAACCTGGAATATCTAAAATATGAAGGTGCCCCAAATTTTAAGTTATAACAAGATGATTAGATAAAATTCCTTAGATGTGATTCAAAATTTATGAGTAAATGTGTATATATACTAATGAATTAGCATGAAGTTTCAGTTAAGTGGGATGTTTAAGGTCTAGAGATCTGCTGTACAGTTGTACCTATAGTCAGCAATAATGTACATTTAAAAATTTGTTGTCTTATGTTCTTACCACAATAAAATTTAAATGCATATGTACATTTCTACATTAAAAAATAGATGTAATACTTATATAATGTAATACTTATATAAACTAAATCAACTAATGGCTGAGAATGGATAAGGTATTGTTTATATTGCATTCTAGGTATTATTGGAAATGTTTATCCATATGCTTTAATGTGGTTTAGAGAAAAAAAAAAACCAGCCATGTGATAATAGTTCTATACAGTATATGCAAAGCGTCGAGGCTGTGGATGCTATCAAAATCTACCCTTTGGTCTTTGCCTCCTTCCCTCAACTAAATAGAATACCTTTATTTCTCATACATGAATATTCTCCTTGCTTTATTCCTTGATTTCATAAAGTCTTAGTGCTAAAGCTAAGCTCCATTGGGCCTTTACAGCATTTCTTCTGTCAGCTCTATGGAATTAGAAAATAGGTTTTCTTAATTTAAATAATCCTTCATATCTATCCAGTAGATTTATTTCTTTTCTTATTTCTCTCCCTTTTCTATGCTCATCTTCCCATTAAACTTTAGGCCTGAATTAGCAGGCTCAAATCTCAAAATTGTGTGGTTTCATCTTGTGTGGAGATGACATTTTAGACCAAGAGAACAGTCTATGACAGTGGAAATATTTTCTGTCTATACTATTCAGAATAGTAGTTACTAGCTACATGTGGCTCTTGAACACTTGATAACTGAGTTAATGAACTTTAATTTTAATTAATTTAAATTTAAATTGCCACTTGTGACTAGCAGCTACCATACTGAACAGCACACTTAGAATTGTCTTCTGATGTAGAGATGAATTTCCAGTAATCCAGTCACAGACCCCTGCATGGTATTTCTTATGAGATGGCATAAGGACCAACTAGACTTTGTATGTTTTTTATTCAAGGAACAGACTAAAGCTAACTAGAGCATAGCATGGACTAAAAAGTCACAGACCAGTGTTTGTAGTTTGTGAGACAGAATGGTCATTTTCCTTTAGCCAGAGTTTTTTAAGCTTCAGTATACAAAAATGCTATGTGAACCCAATAATAAATAATATTCAAGCTATCAAAAACTTCTTTATGTTATGAGTTCAACTTCTAGCCATGATGGATTAACAGCGGCTGGATTTACTTTCACATATTAAAAAAAATAAGAAAAAATACATGAAACAAGTGTCTTTAGACACAGGACAATAAGAAGCACAAGATAGTAACACCAAAGAGCAAGGAAATAAAATAGATAAACTTACAAACATACTCCAGCTTACTTCCTAAAGATCATATTAGGCTTCAAGGCAGAGAGGAGGAGCCTAAACAGACTCCAGGGTTATCTTTGTGTTAAGGAAACAAAGTTCAGAATTTGGGGAAGCCAAAGTGCTAGAATTCACAATTCAGAGTACCAGAGAGGAGAGCACTTCATTGAGAAGAGCTCTAGAGATCTGTAGAGGGTTCTGCTCGAATCTTCAGCTGAGGACTGAACAGTGCATGCATGTGAAGAGATTACCATGGCTGTGGAAAAAAAACTATCAAAAGGAACAGGCAGAGAGGGGAGGGTATAGCTCAAGCAGCAGAGCGCATGCTTAGCATGCATGAGGTCCTAGGTTCAATCCCCAGTACCTCCTCCAAATATAAATAAATAAACCCAATTACCTCCCTCTCATAAAACAGCAAAAAAAAAAAAAAAACCCCACAAAACAAAGAAACAGGCAGAATAATCCCTTGATTGTATACAGGACCTGGAACAATTCTTGTTAATACCATCCAAAAGGAAAAGAACTCCTAACATAAAAGAGATCAAGTAGAGTATTTAGAATCTCCTGGCTTTAGTAGCAGAAGTAAATTAGATTATTCTGGTTCCATCTAAAAATGTTTAAAATCAACACTTGAAAGTATCAAACTGATTCCAACTAAACATCTCAGTACAAAAACAACAAAAGGCCTCAAAAAACAACAAGGTAAAATTTATAATGTCTAGCATTTCATCAAAAATTACCAGGAATACAAAGAAATTAGAAAATATGACCCATAATGAGGGGTGGTGGGGGTAAAGGGAGAAGCAATCAATGGAAATAGTTCCAGAAATGACATGTGATGAGGATGTAATAGACAAGGACATTAAAGTAGCCATAAATTTAAGACAACAGAGGGAAGTATGAACATGATTTTTTTAAAAAAGCTAAGAAGATATCAGACCCACACTGAACTTCTAGAAATGGAAAAATATATAATGTCTGGATAAAGAATACAATAGACAGAATTAACAGATTGGAGAAACTGGATATACAGCAATAGAAATGTCCCCAAGTGAAAGAAAGAAGAAAAATAAAACGAATAGCTCAAAAGACCTAGGGCACAATATTATTACACTAATACATGTGTAAGTCCCAGAAGGAGAACAGAAAAATATTTTTATAATGGCCAATTTTTTTTCCCAGATTTGTTCAAAACAATAAACCTATTGATCCCAGAAGCT